ACACTGTTGTACTTGGACGTGTAGGAAGAAGAGTTTTATAAAGTTGTTTCCCGTTTTTCTGGCTTATCACCTATGATCATGAATCTCATTGGTTTTGATTTTGCTCCAATAACAATCTATTCTGTCTGTGGTAAATGTCTCCCTTCAGAATTGGAAATGCAAAAAATGAACAAAGCATCATGTCATCAAAAAAATCCCCACAACTTATACACAGCATTATGAATATTATTATGATTATTATAATGACCTAACCCACTGCTGGTCTTTACAATCTATAGTCTATTGAGAAAATAAACAGATTTTTGACTGATTTCTGAGTCAATTGCTCATTATGAAGAGCACTGTGAATATTGTGACTAATGTAAACTTTTACCAAAACTAACAATAATCACAAATAGAATTGATGTATTGTCACAGCCCCTCCTTTATGTACATTGTTCTGTAAAATCAATGTGTGTATGTACAGTGTGTGTACATAATTACATAACATGTTGTTGCCACCTCTATTAGCCGTTGTTATGCCACCAGTCTTTTATGCAAACAAGGGAAGGAATAAAAGGTATGTAACAACCTAAAAGTACTTACAACTTATTATTGTTGTTGTATTTTCGTGTCTCCATTCACATTCCTTGAAAAACACGAAAGAGCTACAATTAATATCAACTTTTAAATATTCAAATTACAATGTTTTTTTTTTTTTGGTTCAACTTCTGGTTTCATCAAAACATGCAACAAGCTATTGAAGATGAAAAATGTGTTCTCAGTTTGTGGAACATGGACCCTGCCCAGCTTCACATTATTTCTTCATGTTTCTATCTTTGTGAGTTATCGTCTGGGATCTTCAAAACCAAATGTTTTCTTTAGCACTTCTTGCACTGGAATATAACAGTGTCGAATTCAAGTCAGATTCTTCATCTTCAGCTGCATCCGTCTTGGTTGACAATTTCTTCACTCAGGTATTGTCTGTATAATTAAATGATGTGTGACAAGCCCTTCAGGTGCCTTTGAAGAACCCCCAGCAGCACATCAGTTTGGCCTGTTGGGTCCATGATAGTTTTGTAATGCAAGCACCGTGGGAGGTCCCAGCTGATTCAAGTCTTTTAACCCGCGGGCATGTCAGTCTTCTGCCTGTTAGAGGAAAAGTACTGATGTGAATGATAGATAGAGCAGCTTAAGTAGGGGAGCATTATCCAGGCCGTGATAGCTTTCTTTGTATGCTAATGCCACTTTACCCTGACAAAGCCAATCTCTACTGACCCCCAGTGGTTTCACCTGACTGCTGTGCCACAGGTGACCCCACATACATGTTTTTAAAAACTTAAATTCACATTCAAGTAGATGTACAAAATAGTGGTCTCAGAAATGACTTGAGTCTATATTACTGTAACAAGCATGTATCAGTCAAACAAGTCATTTTTATTTTTAGTTTGAGCATAATACATTGTGTCTGACTCTAATATATATAGAGCAGTAAAATAGTTTTGTTAATTCTCTCTTTGGTAAATGTATGTAAGCACCTATAGCCACTGCTGATTCCATGTGGTAACTCTGAAGAAAGAAATGAGTGAAAATAACAATTTTATGCCTCTATTAGCTGCAGCCAAGATAAAACCACAATCAAGTCCATTATTTCTGACTGATCCATTGTGAAAATATTTACTACTCACACCGTCTGGAATGTGCATTTTGTCTTGAGTCTTGGGAGGCGAGTTTGAATGGGTTCAGAGACTTTGGTCGGCTCTCTCCTCACGACATTGTGGTGAGTGCAGCCACAGTCCTGCCCCGGCTGTACGCCTGTGGCCTGGAGCAGTGGCACAGAGCGAGGCTGGAGGCTGGAGACTGGAGACTGGAGGCTGGAGACTTTTATGAGACTTGTCCCACAGAGCAAGGGAAGCTCAGGTCACGACATGAGGTTAACTTACACACGGGGAGGTATAAGGTTCGCCTGCACATGCACAATATGGCTCTTTGTGGACGGGACAAAGGGGAGAAGACTGGAAAGAATAGGTCTACAGCCAATTTTGTTTGCTTCAAAAATGCAAACAATAAACTTGGAAACAATAACCAATTTTTTTTTAAACAAAGGTTTTCTTATGTATTTGTTACAGTTCTACTTTGCTGGATTTGTGTCACAATTTACCGTTGATATCATGGAAAGCACATTTATGTAGGCTTATTATTGTATCGGCCACCACAGTCAACATTGTATTATAGCATAAGACATTCAACATTTATCAAACTCATTACCATCATAATTTGTGCTGGCTGTAGCTTATAAGAGTAGACAGAAAAACACACACGTTAAAAGCTGTAAGTACATTTATTTTTGCTTGATGTTTGCTCAGCCTTCCTCCACACAAAACTTGTTCACTTAATCCTCTCAATTGTAGTCACGTGAATGTGCACATGTGTTTTTGTGACTCATACCAATTTTGTGTGTGTGTGTGTGTGTGTGGTTGTGTGGTTGTTCAAAGGATTGTGTTAATTGCTTGGGTGCATCCTAATGCTGTATATTTATTAATTGATTTTCCATTGTATGTCTGGTGATTATCTGAAAAGTCACTGCTTGTACTGGGCTTAAAGCTGGAGTACATCACTTTTTAAAACAGGCTGTAAATAACCCAACAGAAGGAATCTTGTAAAAGCAAAACACGCTGTCTGTCTTCATCTCATTTTAAGAGGTTATTGTTTGTATTTGTAAGAAAGAACTCTGTGTCTCACGCTTTGGGCTGAGGGCGAATAGTGAGGTAAGTCCTATATTCACCACTTCTCTGTACGAACAATGTTATGTAAAGACGAGAAGGTTTTGAAAGTGAGAATCTAGTTAGATGGATATTATTCATGGTTCTAATAAATATTATCACACAGTTTTTGTGGTTTCAAAGTGAGGTACCCCAGCTTTAAGTTTTTTAGTTCAGACAGGACCCAGAGGTGAGAGCTGACAAACTACTGCAGCAGATGTGGCCTTTATGCGTCATGCTCGGCTTCACGAAAACCCCTTGCATTAGGCTGCGTGCGCATTCCCAGTCCCTGTTCGTTTTTTTCCTCTGCTGCTTTTACTACAGGCCATAAAAAGGGGAGCCAAAACCTGCCGGACACTATTATACTGAAAGCACTAAACCCAAAAACTAGATTTGATCACGAACATTGGTGGAACATGGCAAAGGAAGGTCGTAGTTTGTCAAAGCCACTGCAGGGGTAATTTTGTCCAATAAACTTTAGAATCTGTGTTCTATTTTCATTTCCTCATTAGTCTGTGAGAACCATACAGCTCACTTTGAAGAGCCACTTTTATTATGTTCCCTAAATGTCTGCAAGGAGGTGAGAAAAGAAGTGGAATTTTAATTTCTTATGGTGATAATAAAATGTTCTCTTTAGCTTTTAAGAATAGCTTGCTATCGCTTTGACCATGCAACAAGTTTATTCTGCCACCTTAGAGCTGGACTGATGCAATGGTTGAAGTGGAACATACTGTATGGCTGTAAGAAGTCAGTGGAAACATGTAATTTACTCTCCCCAGTATATAAGCTTTGTTGTTTTATAATAGTTTTATGCAGCCTATAAATCCAAAATCCAGCCTATAGCACATTTAATAAACAAAAACAAGTAGCCTACAACAAGTGCTGTGTATATCTTTAAAAGCCTATTTTGATTTATAAATAATAGGAACACAATTATTTATCACATTATATCTTTTGTATAATTCCCGTTTAAAACTAACACAAACCCATGTTACTATGTTAATTTTAAAGGTGTTTCTCAACTTAGATGTTACTTTGTTATGGCAGTAGAATTATTTAATACAGATGTTTTCAATGTTGTTACTAATTAAAACTTATATATATATATATATATATATATTAGTTTATATAACTAACTAACAGTTAACATAACTAACTATTTACAGTCTATAGTCTGAGTCAACTTTCCACTGATATGATTTGACGAGTTTGCTTGTCTGCACTGTAAATTGATGTCATGCTGTAATATGACATCAATGGTTCAGATGAACCAAAGCAAAAAGCGTTTCTTCACAAGGAAAGTTATAGTTTTCTTTCGTACTGCAGCTTTAATGATTTTTATCTTTCTGCATTGATTTGTTATTGATCGTTACACACAACAACATTCCTGCAACTCAGAATTTGACAACATCCCCCTTAGTGTCATTAAACACACACAGCTTGGTTAAATATTTACAACATTCTTCACTACCGCAGAAGCAACAGGTGAGGCGAAACGCATTTTTTGTCCCCGTGCGGCTTCCGTCACAGCAGCCTCAAAACAGAACAACACAGAGCTGTCAACTTCTGCTCTTCTTGCGCTGCACAGATTATCGCGTGTTTGGGGTCATATTATTTAACCGCAATATTTCTCAATCATGGAAACTCTTTTAAACAAAGCTTACCGAAACTGTCGCGTTATAACAACCGGAACCAGACGGATACATGGTAAGTTTAACCCGCGTTTTAGCCGAGATCAAGCTAGCTAACTACTTTTCCCACACTTGCTGATCACTATTTCCACGCCCAAAGCAAATGCATGCACTCTTGTTTAATATTTGTTTATACCTTTTTATAAAGTCTGTATACTGATGTCTTGACCCTCGAAAGTGAAATGCAAAGAAACGTGGCTTAATCTGCTCTTCTAATGCGCTTTACTTAGATTAATTACAGACCTTGGGCCATGATGGAACTCGCAAAAAACTTCCTACTGCAAAAATAAACAAAAAACAACTAGTTAGCGTTATTGCACTAGTTTTGACTTGCTTAGCCTACTGTTTTCGGCTACACATAGACTTTGATAGTAACTAATAATAATAACAAACTGATTTTGTGCTTTTGACAGGTGTCTGAATATGCAGCGGAAATCTATTTATCCAGAAAGACAGCTTTCAATGATGTGATATTGGCCAGGAAAACGATTCATCCTTGGCAATACACTGGACACCCGAGGCAGAGGATGCAAGCAATACATTCTTGTGGCTATATCTGTCCACTGTGATGGAGAGGACAGAGCAGAGGTAAAATGTGCCTCAATTATATCTGCTAAGGGCAATAACAAGCTGCCATTGCTTTGCTGCTTTATTATAAGCGGATGAAAGAGTTAAATAGTTTGCTGTGCTTATGATGCGGCGTCATATTAAGTTTGAGCTGGTAATGATTTAACTGTGACATGCTAAATCTGCCATTTCATTCAATTCTTTGGTTCTAGATACACAAATAATATCACAGCATAATGTTTGATTATATTGACTAAATAGGACCCTGTTATTCTCAGCACTAATGTCGTCCTCAAGGTGTAATAGGTTTACCTGTTAACACCATGTGCCACTCCCTGGAGGCGCTGCACATGTTGGTACTTGAGAGAGTAAAACAATTCTTGGATGAATGAACTGGCACGCACTTGGCACTTACAACTCTCACGTCAAACATTAAATTAAATCCATTTGGACTCGTCAACCTTTAACCAACAGACAGGTGAAGATCAGTGTTGTTTTGTTTTTGTAAATGAATGTTTGAATGGTTCTAGCTCTGAGGTGGACCGGCCACCCTCACCTCCAGAGCGAGGACTGCTGCATGTGTGGCATTCAGGGGGCCACTACGAGCAGCTGAGCCCAGAGAGGGTGCTCCTGTCCAGGCCTGTCCTTCAGACTGCCCTGGGAGAGAACCATGGAGTCCTGCTTTCACAAGGTGAGTGTGCAAAAGGAATGGGATCAAATTACACTGGCTACAATCTGTCATCACAACAGATAAGGTGAATCTATACAAAACAAAGCAAAGGAGGAATACAGAGTGTCTTATCTTACAGTTTACCTTAAGGTACATCAATCTAATGTGACTGTGTTATCTGTTCTGGCAATTCTAAAGGATTAAATTTCAAGTTGAGAGGGGTCTGTTTTTTCCAATTACATTATATCTGTCATACTAATGTCTTAAACTGCGTGTAGAAGACCTTCACGTTACAGACACAGCTCTAGCACTGATTTGCTTGAGAATGTGATATTCAAACTGTAAATAATTGAAATGGGCAGTTAAAATAAGCCTCATTGGGGGGTTCGGACATTCAGAAATGTTGGCTTCATCCAACCCGTTTTCAAAACTGTTATTCTATTTTTTTTTATTTTTTTTATTGTTGTTGGAAATAAACATTTTGATTTATTGCTGTGAGGCCCATTCAGCTGTTTGATTTTGTGCCAATACTAGGGATGCACCAATATAAAATGTTGGCCGATTTTGATATCCAATATTATATTTTCTGTTTTGGCCAATGACTAATATTTGTTTTTTTATTCTGAGTTGATAAAAGTTTGTACAGAGGCGCCGCAGCTGTAAGCTAACACCTTGGTTTGAGATAAAACATGTATTTTACATTTCTTTCTCCCTGTTGCTTTGGTTACTACAACCGTATACCACACACAAATACTGCATTGTATCTATGAAAGTCGGTGAAGTGAAAACTGTTTGTGGCAGATGCTACGTAGGCTGCTTATGCTAACGCATTTCAGGCATTTTCCTAAAAATCGACACACTTTACAGAAATACATTTTAGAAATCATAGAGACTCCCTAAGTTTTCCACTTGATACGAGCAGTTGCCACAACTGCGTGATGTCAGCTGCCATCCAACAATACACATCGGCTGTGGTTATCGGCCTAATTTTACTCATCGGCCCGAGGCAGATATCGGCCATTAAAAAATGTTGAACATTCCGATATCAATACCTATACCGATATATCATGCATCCCCAGCCGTTACTATGAGAATTTCTTTACTTGTATTGCCTTTTCTCTGCTTTCTTGTTACTTACTTACTTCCTGGTCTTGGTTTGCTCTAGGAGGTCTGGTGTATTCGTTTGGGGAGCTGCTGTGGAGGGGGCAGAGTGTCCCGCTGGCTGCCCCGGTCCTGGAGGTCTGTCTTCAGGGGAGAGCAGTGGTGCGGGTCACTGCCGGAGGTTTCCACTGTGGCGCAGTGACGGCTCAGGGCAGCGTCTACATGTGGGGCGAGAACACAGCCGGACAGTGTGGTCTGGGCTCGGACGTCACAGGTAGGAATGGACAGTAAGGTTTTACTGTTCTTAGTTTAAAAAATATAAAATAATCTTTCAACATGTATAATCTAAGAACAGATTCCAGTTCTATGCTCTTGTTTTGGTAACGTTCATCAGAGCTTATCAAATGGTATTTCCATTATATCTATATTGTTTGAGGTCTTTTAGTTGGGTCCATCTCTTATTTGACGACTCTTCTCATTTGTTGCTATGACAAAAAACCGATAGGTGATTTGCGATAAAAGAGTACATAGACTGCAATATTGTTTTATATTGCATGCACATTGGCCCAGATACAAACTACTGCTGTACGTGAATCCTCATCCGTCATTTCATTTCACAGGGCATTTGCTATGTTTTGAAGTCATGGGAAAGCAATGTTTTGTGTTTTAATTTACTCTTATATTTTGAGCACATGCTACAATATGGGTGTAACTTGACTTGGCCATATAA